GTGAAATCCTCCCTCCGTCCACAATTGTTTGTCAGGGTAAGCTCATGCACATCCCTCAAGGAAAATTTAATATAAGGTGTAATTTGACTAATATAACCCTACTATACCAAGAATACCAAAAGTTCACATAACTTTTCAATTGAACTACACTATCATTAAGGGCAGAATTGGAAAAAATTGACTAATTATTTCTTGATTGTTTAAATTGACAATTAATCTTGGACATCTATTTTTAGTATACCTGCCAAACAATTGTGGACGGAGGGAGTAGTAAGTATTTAACTAAAAGTATTGAGTGAGCCTTGTTAGGTAAATATGTACATCTTTGTTAGAGAGGGTTTTATGCTCAATTGAAACTTTCTAACACAAATTCAAATTTAATCAAGCTCTAATATTAAACATCGATGGATTGTGAAATAAAAGAAAATATTTGTACATTGTGATTTGTGAAGCAGTCTTATTAACAGAAAAGGGAATGTTAAGAGTACTTTTTAGTCAATCTATTTGACTGATCATCAAAAGAGAAATTAAAGTTAAAGTAAGTAAGTAGTAGTGTTCTGCTACTAAAAGAAGGAAAAGCTACTTAGCACAAACATAGAATGAACTCATTTTTGACTCCAACTCTTTGAAAGATATATGGACCAAAAAGAATACCAACTGATAAAAGAAACAATTTGTTGTAGGACAATAACTATCATATCAGTACCATAACATCATCTCGTCTCATTAAGTATATTTAACTTTCACTTAATTAAAATGCATACTTTTGGTCTCTTAATATTTCATATTTCATACCAATATTGTATCTCTTAATTTATAAGTGACCAATTTGAAAATGATGATGTGTACACAATTTTATATCTGCTAAGTGAATAGTGATGGATCTAGGATTTCTAAATCCTAGAACTTGGTTGTACCACTAAAAAATATATTTAGTGCGAATTGATCCAATGTAAAAACTCAATCTTCAATTAAGTGCACACATTAGTTTTCTTGTAGCATGAGTGTCAACATATAATATTATGCTAAATTTAGAGAATATATACATAAAATACTTCGTTTTGTAGAGAAATCATGGATTCACGTGTTGTCTATAAATTCAGCCATTATTAAAAAATCATTATTTTCTATTGAAATTTTGCATTCGAAAAAGTTCAATGACTATATTCCTACAAATATTTTGATTGAATCGATGAAAAAAGAAAATGAAGCAGTGTTTTCACACGAAAAAATAAGAAAATTTTTCACTATTTCAACGAGAATCTATTTTTGAGCTAGCTGGTTCGATGGAAAATGAGCGAGTAAATCAAGTTTCATAACAAAAATTTCCCATTAGTTCGTGGTAAGAAAAATGATTATTTCTAGTAGTAGGCCTGCCGGTAAAGGTAGAGTTTATTTTTAATAAACCCCAACTCAAATAAAATATACTCCTTCTGTTTTTATTTACTTGTCCATTTTTTACTTGACACATCTATTAAAAAAATAAATTGACATATTAAGTTTACTATTTTACCCTTATTGATTGATAGAATTTCAAAATCAATTTATTCATTAATTTCTTTTTACCTTTTTAAAAAATATTAACTTTCTAAATAAATTGAGGATATAATAAATAATTTTTTTAAATTTATCAAAAATGATAAGTAAAAAGGAATATGGAGTGTCGTAATCAAATATGAAGGAAGGAAAATATGGTAATGAAGTAAGCATGCTGACAGACAATAATGTAGATGATTAGACAGTTTTTAGCAAGTAGCATATATTAAACTCAAATTTGAAAGAACAATGTAACACATCAATAATTAAATAGTTTAGCATTGAATATTAATTTGTGAAAATATTCATAAGTAGAAGGATAAAAAAGCGCACATTTCAAAGTATTAAATGTGCTTAACTATATATATCATAACGATCAAAACAAGAATTAAAACCAAAAAAAAAAGCAAAATTCTCTTTTCCTTTTTTTCCTTTGCTTGAATTTTTTTAAAACTTTAAAAATGAATAATGTTGCCTCCATCATCATATCATAATCTTCTTTTCCTTTTTTTTTTTTTCTTTTCTTGTCTAATCAACAATGCTGAGATGCTAAAAATGGCCAAAATGAAATTGCATTATCAGAATCACGATCATCATGATCTTCAATAAACCTAAATTCGTGATTTCCATAAGCTGATGTGTAACACGGCATTTTCTGTCCTTGTGAATTATGAGCCCACGATCCGTTTATCGTATGTTGTGTACTGCTCTCCATTCCGATTCCACCCGCGTTACCATTAGCCGCGGCTGCTGCACTAGCTCTCCTCTCTTCTTTTTTAAATCGAATCCCACACGCATTACAAAGTGACTGCACCATATACATATATAGTTCAATTTAGTATATACGAATAAAGAATTCGTTACAAATAAGCATATAAAAAATATATATTTACCTTAGGTCCTCTAGGACCATTTCTCCATAAAGGTGTTGAAGTAGTGTCACAATTAGCACATCGACGGGCAACAAGTGGGTCAGCGTTGTTGCTGCCTGAATTAACGTTGTTACTACCACGGCCGGATTTGTGATGATGAGTCGATGAAGTATGATTTTTGTTCTGTAGAATATTCCAACATTTTGACATGTAAGAAGAAGAAGAGCGACGTTGTTCATCATGAACTCGCTTTTCATCATTGGTAGTACTAAGACGAGTGGAAGGTGTACCTAAGGAGAGAGTACAATCAACGGAAGACGAAGAAGAAGAAGGAGAAGAAGCGAAGGAATACATGTTTTCGGAATAATTTTCATCTTTTTGATACTCATGATGAGTACTATAGAACATTGAGTATGCGTTATTTTCATGACCGTAATACAAATTGCAACTGCACGGACCACCATGACAATAAGCGTTACCACAACTATTCATCGTGTTTGTTTTTGTCTATGAAATTGAGAGAAGAGATCAGTTGTGTAGCCTTTTGTAGTGTACAAAAGAGAGGAAAGATATGGAGTAAGTGAGGTAGTTTATTAGCTTTATATAAGCTACTAGTAAACTGTAGTGTATAGTAATTAATTAAACAAATACACGTCAGCAAGTCCACGTTGTCGTCAAATGTGGTCTACAACGTTTTTTTTTTCCTTTTGGATTCTTTGTTTGCAGATGAATGAAGAGGTGGGGACCCAGATTAATGTGAACAAGTCAGAGAAAGGGATAGATGAAGAAGTTAAAGCAAAAACTCAAAGTGATAGTTCGACTGGAGAAAGAGTAAAGAAGAGACTTAAGTTCTAGTAGATGTTCTCGAGTACTCTTTTCGTTTCAATTTATTTGTCTAATTTTAGATTCGTAAAATGTATTTAAATATTTTTTAATTTTTTGATCGAGATATTTTCTTTGAAACGAATTAGAACAAAAGTAAGACAGACCAATTGAAAGGGAGATAATATAATTGCACAGTTTAAGTGGCAGTGGTCTCTATATTTAGCAATACCTGAGTATTACTGGCAGATCTATCATAGCAGAATTCGAATTATTTGTTGGGATTTAACTTTTTGTGTAGTGATTAGTGTACTGTTTACTTATAATATCAGATTAATATATAATTAATAATTAAGCAATATATGTACAAGTAACTGGCGTTACTATTTGAATTTGGTAAATTAGAAATGCAGTAAATTACGATATGTTAAAATATACTAATAAATAATATAAAAATTCTTTACACATCGATATAATGTGTATTTTATACTATGTATTATACAAATTAAACACAACTAGTATATATAACTGAGTAGGTAACTTTAACTCAAATAATATTTTTTTTGAAAATTAAACTACATATAATTAATAACATGTCATATTTGAATACATAAAGTTAATATTTTTGATCTTATAACCAAATAAAGAGAGGAGATAAATTGGTCAAAAGAAAGACACGTGACAATGAGGAACAGTCTTCCATGGATCTGCCTTCTCCGATCACGAGGCCACCCAATATCTGTCGGTATCCATATCTCCGCCCCGACCCAACTCACGTCTCGACGGGTGGTTCCTCTAGCTTGTACCAACAACACAATGATATTTCTATGCCCCTTATGGGTGCATCGTTAATTATATTATAATTTATGTCAATTTCTCAAGATATATATACATAATTTTTATCAAAATTAACAAGTGCATACTATATAAATGGGTCCACCTTTGCTCCATTTGGGAATTAAGCTTCCAACAAAAAAAAATTATACTCAAAAATCGAACGCAAGAGTACCATTGCTATCAATCTAAAGTTTATGTGATGCAAACTTGTAGCATAGATTTTGTTCCATTCCGAGGTTGGTAGGTAGGTAGATAATTGAAGAAATAAATTGACACAAGAAATATAAAAGTAGATATGGAAGTGATACTTATGAGAGTAAGTTTCCTAACACTGAATTGCACCATTCCTCCTATCATAAAAATTAGGTACACATCACAAGAACAATCAGTTTTACAGTTTCTGGCATTGCATGTCCATTACTCAGTAACCGTACCCTCAATTCACGTGATCAACTCATATTCAAATATACCTAATCTTATTCTTAATTTCCTATCCAACTTATAACCTACAAATTTATTTATTTTCCTAAGTGAAAATACTATTCCTTTCGTCTCGTATTAATTATTAATTTTATTTTTTCACATTTTAAAATAAAAAAGTACTTTTCACTATTATAACATATCTTTTGCTAAGAAATTGTATTTTATTTGAGAACAAGACTAAGCTAATAATCATATTTCAAGAACGTTTAATACTAAGAGTAAAATGAAATAAAAATAATTAATTTCATCTTGATTTTATAAAATGACAAGTAAATTAAGATAAATATATATTTTTTAACTTTGACAACTAATATGGTACGCGTACGGAGAGAGTAACATGATTAACTTTTTTTTTTACATTTCATCCGGTGTTTGGTGTCTATATTGACTATATTCAGTCTGCACACATGGCTAATCATTAGGAGGTGGTGCTTCCAACAAAATTTTCTTCATATCTAGAATTCGAACCTAAAACTTTTAATTAAGGGTGGAGCAATCATACACCACAATCATGTTGGTGATTAAAACTTAATTTCAATTAATGATGCAATTAAGTAAGTTAAAATATAAAATGCATTGGCAATTGTGGATGGTGGGCAAAAAAAGAAGGGATACTCTGGCAATCATCAAAGCAACATGTTTCTTTCTTTCATCAGAACTAAGAGAGAGCAAAATCTTTGACTCAGAAGATGCAAACTTAGAATGGTAAAAAAGGGAGGAAAACAAAAAAGAAAAGGTGTACCCACCCACCCTCTCTCTTTAAAAATAAAAAAAACTATATATTATAATAATAATTTGGTACTCTACCCCACAAGTGTAATGATGATGGAAATGGGGTCCAACGAAATTAGAAACAAAAACTTCCCTCAAGAATATCGATAACAAGATTCAAAAAAGGGTTAGAGAATAAAATGATCTTGAGATTGGCGTCCCCTTTGCTCGACAAACAACAAGACCAGACCAGACTTGCCATTCACTTTCCAAAATATGCTCTATCAACTATATATTATAATCTTTTCATTTACCCAATAATTTTTATTATCATCACTACCATACACTATAAACGTTGCATGGTATAACACCCCCCCCCCCACCTACTCATGTCACACCAATATTTTATCATATTACGAGTTTAAGTTATATACATTATCTATTTAATTATATTCTTAAAAATATCATCATCAGGCTATTTTAAAGATATTTATATATTAGTCTCCTTAAAACATAAAATTTGTAATCTTAAAAATAATATAGATTACATCCTGCCACATGTAAAAATGATCTAATATTATAAATTTTTTTTGCATATAACTGAAACTCTTACCATACCTACAATTTTTATTCCACACATAAAATGCACAATGTAGTAGCATGGAAAAAGGGAGTAGCATATATATTTTCTCATTGTTTTTTACTTGTTCACTTTGGACTTTACACGTCTTTTAAGATATAATGATTGATACTAATATTTTATCACATGAATATTTATATTATTTAATGTTTAGTATTAGATCTTAAAAAATAATTAATATTAAAATAGCACATCAATTTTTTTTTTAAAAAATACTAAATATGACACGTAAAATTTAACACTAGATAAAGATAGGGTCAATGCAAATGAGTATAAAAGTAGTATCATCAGTCAATAGAAATGAAATCTAATAATACGGTTTTTAATGTAACTCTGGGATTTGATTAATCATGGAAGCCAATTACCCCCCACGAACGCCTCCATAATTCTCACATTCTTTGAGGCTAACAAATATGCTCACGCTTCCTCATAAATCATCATACATTACAAATCTACCATAATAAAACTATATATTATAATATAAAAATAAGTATAATACAATGACCATCATCTTACGTGGCATCTTCGATTTTGTGGGTCCCATCTAGTCCTATCTATAATCCTAATATTAAATATCTCCCTAATTATAGTCCTAAATTATCCAACTTTGCTCCTTCATTATTTCACCGACCAGTTTAAGGTTAAATCATTTTTACTATCACATCATTTAAAAGATATCATTTCTTAAAATCTGAATTTAAATATAAAATATATTAGTTACTACATCAAACTTTTTTTTTTATAATGATACCTTTTTCTTTTTTATATGCAATATATTACTTAAACTCATAAAAAAAGGATATATTAATCAATGGGTTTTTATCTTTATATACAAATATTTTTAACAATATATATAATAATCACTATCAAGAGCAGATCTGGGGGTAGTGTTCATCTCAATCCCTTCGACAAGAAATTACATTGTATACATAAGGTATTTTAAATTGTTTTTAGTGTATATATAAATTTTTTGAATCACCTCAACACAAAACTAGATGTTGACTTAATGATTTAGGAGTTTTGTTGATCACTATAATTTTTATTTAATTTGTTAAGAACAATTATTGATGGTTACTTCCTTCTATTCGTTCATGTTTACTTGTTCATGCTTGAGTTTGACACATCTATTAAGAAAAAATAAATAAAATGATACTCCATAATTTTACTATATTATCCCTAATTATTATATGTTGAAAAATGAATAAAATACAATTATGATTACAAAAATATAAAATGGTAAATAATCTTTTAGATGGACGGAGGACCTTATTGATTCAAATTCTCTTAAATATACTATAATATAAGTGTATAAAGATAAAGTTCTCATGATTACACACTAAACCCGTGCCATACGTAAATAATAATCACTACTAGCCATTTTGAAATTCCCCCGTTACACTTTGAATATTTGCATGCATGAACTAATTATCCAACTATCCAATCCATGCAAATAAACTAAGAGAAAAAGCACACAAACAAAATCTGCATATTAAAAAGATTTTGAATACCAAGATTCAAATCTAGATTGATTACTACATACTACTTTATATGCTACAAACGACGAAAAGAACAGTGTCTAAATTCTAAAAAAAGAAGAGAACTATATTATACTATATAGTATAATATTATATAAAAAAAAAACACAAAAGGAAAAGGTAACGTACATTCCTCAAAAGCAACAAGATACAACTGGAATGAATCTCACTTGCCCAGTTTATTTTTAGCTTTTTATGTCTTATAGGACTAAGTTTTCGATTGGTCAATTGGTTAGAGTAAAGAGAAAAAAAGTGATCGATAACAACCCCCAAAAAAAAAATGCAAATTTGTAATAAAGAGAGGAACACTTGATAAGATAACCTATATAGAAAGTTATTTAGTAAGTTTCTGATCTGGTCTGGTCAACAATATAATGTGTTATATTTATTATTATTATTATTATTATTATTACTTTCCTCTAAAGAATAAATACTGTAGCCTCTTATTGTCTCCTATGAAGGGTTCTAGTCTTGTACCCAAAGAAAACTAAGATTTACCTTTTTTTTTCTTCCATCCACTCATTATATACGTTTTGTCTGCCTTGTCACTACCCCTAATTCTACCTTTTTGCCACCCCATATTTTCTTACTCCCTCCGTTTCACAAAGAGTGACCTGGTTAGACTTGGCACGAAGTTTTAGAAAATAAAGAAAACTTTTAAATCTTGTGGTCCTAAATTAAAGTTATGTCAAATGTACTAAATTGCCCTTCAAACTTGTGGCTTCAAACATGCCACGTGGAAAGCTGAAATTAAAATAATACCAAAAAAGGAAAGAGGTCATTCTTTTTTAAACAGACTAAAAAGGAAAGGAGGTCATTCATTTTGAAACGGAGGGAGTAGTAATATGATGGATCATGACTATTAAATATTGAATTTGAATCTTTATGATGATTTATGACTAGAATCACTTAATAATGAAGCGTGTGATTAGAATGCCTTGAAAGAGGAAGTATTTTTTAACAAGATAAGTTTGGTCATCAGTATTTGCAAGTGATTAGGTGCATTATCTAGTAACGATCCGTTGGATGGTTTTGAGTATTAAGACCCCTTTTTTAAGTGACACTTCTTGTAGGTTTAAAATGTGAATTTTGATTTGCGAACTGAGACAATTGGATATGTATTAGAGTAAAAATTCAAAAATAGAATAAGGATTGACCAAAGTCAACATTTAGAATAAACGAGTTGGAATTGAGGTTTGAAAGTTCCTAGAGGTACGGATGGTGATTTGGGATTTAGGTGGATGATTTGTGGACGAGTCTTGAAGGGCTTGTAAATGATTTAGACACTTAGGTTGCATACTAGTTAATTTGAAAATTTAAGAGTTGATCACACCTAAATATGTGCCTAGACGGTCTCTGATCGGTGATTTGAGTGCTTCAACAAGTTCTTAGGTTGTTTAAGGGAGTGATTTACATATTTAATTTGCATTTTGAGAAGTTTGGGTACTTAAATGAATCAAGTGATGGCATCAATTTTTTGGTTGGTTTATAGTGCCAGTCATTATACCCTGGGTGTCACGATCATCGAGAGGTGATAGGGTGATCGCGAATATTCGCGAAAAGCATAGTTTTACAAATTTATAACATTTTTTTAAATTGAAATTTAAAAGGATAAATATACCCCCGAACTATCGTAAATGGTAAAAAGATACCCTCCGTCATACTTTTGGGACATTGGTGTCCCTGCCGTCCAAAAACTAGAGCATATATACCCTTTATACTAACGGACATACACGTGTCATAATCTTATCCACCGATCCAACATTTATTAAATATCGGATGGACGGATAAGATTGTGTCACGTGTCCCTATTTAGTCTTCCGCTAGAGTGAAGGGCATATATGCTCTAGTTTTTAGACGACAGGGGCACCAATATCCAAAAGTATGACGGAAGGTATTTGCATATCATTTATGATAGTTCGGGAGTATATTTGTCCTTTTTCCCTTCATGGTATATATTGGAGAGTTTTTTTTTTGGATGGATAGAGGTATTTTAAGACCTTTTAGCTTTGATGGAAGGAATGTTTTTTATAATACACTGATAATACGAGTTAAGGATAAGGGGGTGTCATATATGTATGAGTATTTAATGTCATGTTTTGGGTGTTTAATTGCGGTTATGTGATGACTTCTATAATTAACTGTAAATTCATAAGCTTGTTTTGAATAAATTGAGTGATTATTGTGTTAATTGAGTATATGTTTCAGATCACTTTGAATATCACGTACACTTGATGATAATTATATTACATGAACTTCTTTTCTACATTGTCTACATGCCTTATGTGAGCATATGAAATTTATATCTGATCCCACAAACATGGTTATTTACTGATGTAATTTATGACAGATGGGATCTAATTTTGGATGGGTGATGATATTTTTTAGTTTTCTCAAGTGAAATTTAAGTCCAAAAATAACTTTAATTTTTTAATATTTTCTTAACTTTAACTTTAATTTTTTCCCCAATATAATATTTTCCAAACACTTGTACGTAAGAACTATTACTTCACTTACAAGACAACCATACTTAACCTTTTATCTATAAAATAAAATAAAAACATGCAATATCTCACAAGAGAAAACATAGATTAGTCTTTTTTGTGCGATAATTTTGTAGGCAAAAGAATTGGAAATAGAGGTATCGGGTTCAAATATGGGTATGCAATTGCTATTATTAAGGAACGTTTTACCTTCAAATGTAAAAGTTTTTGAAGGCGAATATTTAATTAGTCGAGTCCCAATACAATTATCTACCAGGCACTAAATGATACTCCCTATGTCCCTAATTACTTGTCCACTTTTGAATTGACACACCTATTAAGAAATCAACTAATGACATAGTGAGTTTACCATTTTACCCCTATTAATTATGAAGTGGATGAAAAGTTTTGCATTTTTCAAAGTAATTAGTCATTTAATTGAGGGTATAATAGATAAAAAAAATTTTATTCTTTCTTGATTTGTCAAAATGGACAAGTAATTAGGAATAACTATAAAAGGAAAAGTGGACAAGTAATTAGGGACAGAGGGAGTAATAAAAAAAAAATTGAAAAGAGGAAAAGAAAAGAAACCAGGGTTAACACTAAATTTCTTTTGTCTTATTTTTTCTAATAAATAAAAATTTATGGTAAAGTGTGGCCGACAATCGGCATTTAGGTGGTAATATATTTATTTAAATAAAAATGGTGATAATCACTATAAAAATCCTCTGGAAGACATAATAATATAATAAAGAGGCAACATCCTGAGTATATTCTTGTGGTCTCTTCTTGTTATATGTGTAAGATTTGTTTCCTTTTGATCTATGAATTAATTTACCTTGAAGTTATTAAAAAATTAAACGATCGTCTACCCTACTTAATAGAATAATACTTCTGTAATTAAACTAATTAATTTGGCTAGTCTAACACTTTACGTTTTCTTAAGTCATGTAATATGCCACATGATTTTGTTAATTTTCAATGTCTACTTTATATTTTCTTATATAGTGGCACTCTCTCGCAAGTTTGAAATTTATTTTGATCAAAAACATTTTTTTAATACACAAAGGGTACTACTACTTAACTTGTGGTAAATGGACAAGGATTTTCCATAAATAAATATAGGCTGGGCTTTATTAATAATCTACGGTTATGATTTAGGTATTTACCACTTATAGCGAGTGTTTGAGGGGTCGGACGATTTTTTTTTTGAGGTATCAGATGATTATGTATATTTGTTGTATTCATACGCACATTTAGATTGTATCAACGAATACAATTCTATATAAGAATACAAACAAAAACAAAAACAAAATATTAGGATTGTGTTCATTTGCTTCAGTTTCACTTGTATTCATTCGCTCTACTGTATCAATTGTTACCAATTTGTATCACGTGTATTCATTCACTCTAATGGTGGTAGATACCAACACGTACAATCTTAATGGATATAGCCACGATAGATTGTATGTATTCACTCAATTTCGCTTGAGTAAGGCAAAATACAGAAATACAAGAGTGAAATGCTTGGGTGTATACTTGGATACAAGCAACAATATACATTGTACAATCAAGGCAAAATATAAAAAATGTAGTGATTGTTAAAAGTTCCCTTATTTATAATACATAAATACAAGTGAATTACAAAAATACATCAAGGATCTACAAGAAGTTTTCAAGGTGCAAAATCAAGGTGAAAATATAGAGATTTACCGAAAAATATCCTTCAAAATACAAAATACAAGTGAAAATACAGCGAGAGGCAAGTAAGAGAGAGACGAGAAAAAATATGCTATAAAAATATAAAATATAATTAAGAATAGTAATTTTCTAAGAGTGTAGTTATGAATAATAAATATAATGTATATATTAGGTATATACCATGTTCTTAATGGATTCATTTACCCAAGTGTGCTCTTGAGGCACAAGAGTAGCCTAACTAATGGGCCAAATAAGGCCTGTATTAAAACGGGTCATTTGCATATTTTCCCTATTTTGTGTTGATTTTTATTTTTTTGTTTCTCAAGGTAAATTTTTTTTTTGAGAGGTATAAATTTGTATTTTCGTATCATAGTATCTTTCAGGTTACGCTTCGTGTCATTAAATAATTTATGTCTCGCTATGCATAAGTTTGATTTTCAAGGGCAAAAATTTAATTCAAATTCATTTGAAGTGCAAACTTGCAATTAATCAATTTTAAACAAGGGAAAATTACAACAAATGCATTTGGGTGATCTAGTTCACAAAATATATGCACAATGTATAGGTTGTATATACTTAACACTAAATACACCTATACTATATATACATTAAAATGTACTCTTCAGTCATTTTAATACATATTTTGTAAACTAGTTGACCGAACTGTATATATTAGTAGGTATCCCTTTGAACACATGTAAGTACCAACCATAATATTTTTCAATGGTAGTATCCTAAATATAAAAAAAAATACATTTATCGTAGCAACAGTTTACTAATTTGCTAAAAAAAAATTAACGCCACTCCTTCATCAGTGAAATTACACCAAATGACCTTGAAAATTGGTCATTTTGAATACGCTTGTTCATGTGGAAACCTTCAAGGTCAAAAGTCAAAGTTGTTAAACTTGAAAGTCACATATTAAACAAGCGAAGTCAAAAGTTCAAGACCATTCATTTCCAAAGTTCTTCATTTCCTCAACTATTTTAAAGTTGACAACAAATAATGTTGTGAATTTGCAGAGTGAATTCAGTAACCATACGTGAAATTAACCCCTTGGAACGCTCGTTGTATTTGATTGCATAGAATTGGTTTGCATCATCTGAAGAAACGTTGAATTTCTTCAAGTGTTTTCCCTTTGGTTTCAGGTACCCAAATCCTAACAAAAACAACTGTTGATGCTGATACCATTGTATAGATGATGAATGTTCCTGCCAATACAACCATTTTTTTCGAGTTGTTCATAGCATTCTTATATACAAACAATATGTAGTAGGAGAGAAGTCTAATAAAACGCGCACCTCCTTCACTCCAACTCAAAAGCAAGTTGGCTGTCATTGTAACAACCCATGATGTTAGCCAATTTGCCAATGTAGCAACACTGCCACCAAGACTCTTAATGTCTACTGGCAATATCTGCACAAATTATTTCGAAAACTATAAGGTCATGCATATAACAGTTGAATTGCTCGTACTTTGATTGCTAATTTTGCTTTGAACTACTTGTTTTGGTAGGTGTTAATGATCCATGTACAAAGATTTAACTATGAATTAGCTTCGACGTACCTCAGACATTATGATCCATGGAATAGACCCCAATCCCAGAGCAAATGCCATCACTAAAACCTGGAAAATTCATTGGTAAAGACTAAAGGCTCTGAAAAATGCTAGAAATCACACATAATACGCGGAGAAGCAAAGTGTAGGACAGTAATTAGGGGGGGATAAGTAGAAGTTGAAGCATGAACTATACCACAAGTCCAACTAGTGATAATATTCCTAATGCAGGATGCCAACTTTTAGGCGCAAAATCCTGATTTCAAGTAGAAAAATAGTACGCAAGAAATATCGTTAAATCGGATAACTGCTTGATAAATTCTCATGGATGTGAATTTGAAGTTACTGACCTTTAGGTAGAATGCTGTTGCAACAAGGAAGCTGCTAACTGTCATTAGCGACGAGGACATCTGAAAAAATGTGTGTCAATATATAAGTTTTTTCCCCTTAATATGTAGTAGTAGTTAGTATCAAATGAAAAATTTCTGCCTAGACATACAATTAGAAGTACTCTGCGACCCGCCTTGTCCACCAGTGATGCAGCTATAGCTGTGACAACAACCTATAGAAGTACTTTTGTTAATACTCAAGAACAATATTTGCATAGAAATGAAAACTATATATCGCGGGAGTGACTTACTTGAATTGCCCCGAGTCCAAATGTTGCAGCTTTACTAGATGAAACTCCTGTTAGTTTGAAAAGCATTGCAATTAAAGCCATATATATTGAACCATTCACTCTGTACATAGTCTCTCTGTGACTAACAACTACAAATACAATCTAATGATCGAGAAGTTCTTCAAGGTACTAGTCGATAAGGCCTCTAACACCACTAACATGTTCGTCTAGGATTTCGTTTCAAATCATTTGATGATTCTAGTTTGACAACTTCACAGATAATCGAAGAACTGACTAACCAGCAGATTTGAAGATGTTACTGGAATACATTAAGATACCATTAATGCCACTGAGTTGCTGGAGACTGAGTAATCCAATACCTATCTGCATATTATTAGAACCAACTCATGAGAGTGACCCTTGAGAGGAGTAAGGGGAATTCAAGCATATTTTCATAGACTACCATCTCTTGAAACATAATGGTACAATGCACAGGTATACCAGCAAAGGATAGTAGTATCGCCTTCTCTTAAGCTCAGAAAAATGAATAGTAGCTTTTTTACTCGATGATCCCACAGATTTCTGGACAAAGGATATGAACAACAAACAAGCACAAACATATTTTATGAGCAAATTGAATGTTCAAAACAGTTGAAGATCATGACAGATAACCAGCTCAATTGATTTACCTTGATCTCATTCATTTCTAAGGATATGTCAGTGTCAAATCCCCTTAGAACTTGCAACGAAGTTTCAAAATCCTCAAAATTCCCCATTTTAGCCTAAACATTACACTATGGAATGTTAGCATAACATAAACACCGAAAAACAAGAAGGACAAAAACCCAAGTTTGTTATGCATACCAACCAACGAGGAGATTCTGGTATAAAAAATAGACCAGGTATCAAAACCATGCAAGGCAACATTCCTGCAGAGGGGAATTATAGGATGAAAAAGTTTCACTATTAGAAAGACTCAAACCAATATGTTCGATTCAAGAAAATATAGACAGAAGCATTACATTATAATCTCATTGCTTCAATTAACTTAACATCACATGAATACGTCTCCTATTGAACTTCCAATGTATAGGATGTTATACGGATAGATCCACTCATCAACAAAGAACATCTAATCCATTATTCTCGTACTATTTCAAAAGCATATATATATGTATAAGTACTATACTGGATAAGGTACTATTTCTGCTAATGGTACGGTAAGAACTTGATGAATGTCACCAAATGCTGTTACTTGATAAAGAATCTCCCCTGAATTCTAGTACTAACACAGGGTAAAAGCAATCCATTTGCGATAAGTATCATATGAATGAGAAAATTTCTTTGGAATTGATTGAATTTCAACAAGAACTCGTACATTGCTCACCTATAACTGCAAGCACTCTCCAGCTCGCAAAGAGTCCCAATAGATATGCGACCATTATCCCAACTGTTAAACAAAGCTATACACCAGGAATGGAACGTTAAAATATCGAACCATTATGATTGAAAGCACATAACAAAACTAACATTATTAATTGATCCAAGAACTCCTCTCATGTTTTGAGGTGAAATCTCCGATATATATACAGGAACCTATACGTAAACAAACATGAAGAATTTAGGTAATCAGGAGGTTCTCATTACAACTCCAACTAGAGCTATCACTAAAGCAACACAAGTACAACATTTACCACATACGAAATGATGCCAACGCCAAAACCTCCCATCAACCTTCCCATGTATAAAAATGATGTGTCCTGTTAATGATGGAAAATGCATATATTCAAGTAAACTTCCTATAAAAGAAATGCAACTGAAATGTGTAACATATATAAAGCAACTAACCACTCACTCTTGCAATTGAAATGGCGAACCATCCGCTAATATTAGGAAGTGCTGCAATCATTAGTGTCTGCATTTCAATATGAAAGGAGGGAGTAAATCATGATAAAGCAAAAAAAAGGAAGACGTGCAAAAATACACACAAAAATGGTTTAACTTCTATACACTGATGATATCGAGATTGTACAATTGTATATGCAGAGTCTTATACCCCTTTTCTTCCAATGTATTCAGATATCTGACCACTTGCAATTGCACCAACCATTGCACCCACATTCGCTAAAGATCCAAAGATCGAAAACTGTTCATGAAAAAAAGAGAAATTATTCTAACATAACATCAATACCGCGAACTTTGAATTCCCTGACACATTATATCAAAATACTAAGAAAACAATGCAAATGATGAATATAACAACAATGTACTACTAGAAAGAAGATTAAAACCTCTGAAATTGAAAGTATGAGGTCATTCATGATATCGGACTGCGTAGGATTAGTATATCCCAACTGCAAAAATAAAATTAGTAACTTAAAAAACAGGACAAGTTAATTACATGACATTGGTAATGTCAGTATATATAAGTGTCATATTACATTTTTAGTTTATACGTCAATTTTTTTTACTTTCTTAAACTTTGTGTCAAGTCATACAGTGAAAAGTTAGGTATGCATACAGTGAATCCAAATTGAAAAGAGCCCAATGCTACAATGAGGACACACAGATAAATGGAGACGGATTCGCGAAGAATTTGGGCTGATGATTCCATCATGCTGGACTGTCTGGAGCTCATTCGATACCAGCTTCCAGTATGTAACGATGGCTTCCGGAGACCATCCTCACAGATAGCAGAATCATCTCGAAAACTCGTCCTCGTTACGTCTTTCCCTTTCGTAGGGAGTAATAATGGCTTTCGAATTGAGTTCTCATCGGAATTGCTGGCATAATCCTCTCGGAAACTCATCTTGTCAATATTAAAATGTCTTTACTTTATTTTATTTTTTCTTAGCAAATAAAGTTGAAACCTGAAATAATGAAGAATTGATGCTAATGGAGGAATAATAGATCAGCAACAAACTCTGCTATAAACATGGACAAGCTGACCAATGTAGATTTATGAGTGTCAAGAAGAAAACAGAGCAGTTATAGTAGTTGAATAATAGTCCATCCGTCCCAAATTATATGACACAGTTTCGTTTTACATTTAATAAGTCACAAAAAGAATAACACATACAAATATTTAATGACATTATCAATATTTTGTTCATGTTAGGTTCCACTTATTTGGCAAAAAATCCACAAAGGTGTACTCTTTTTTAGGGTAGTTTTGAATGTTGTGAAGTTTTCCTATATCTCTTAAACTTCATGATCGGCCAAATTACATCACATAAATTAGGACGAGGAGAGGGTCATATTTTCTTAAGTACTCTCCGAAAAATGTTATATTTACCCGTTCTTATACATTCTTTGATATACTTGTCCTTGTCATCCAACTTTGGACACATATTTGCCTTTGGACGGTTAAGCCTCATCTCCCCACTTATATCATCCAATGTCATCCAACTTTGGACACATATTTGCCCTCGGACGGTTAAGTCTCCTCTCCCCACTTATATCATCCTATGTGGCACCTACTTGAATATATTCATAATTAAAAAAATTTAGTCAACAGGCCAAATATGTAACTTTCTTGCGCTTAATAAGCCATCTAAAATGAAAATTAGATATGTTATTATGATCATGAAAGTTGGGATAAGTCATATGCTTTGTTTTCCTGCATATAGTATCTAATAATATTATTACACAGGAACTTTAGCAGAGAAAAAAAGCTTTGCATTTGTTAGTTTTTAAAATATTTTGTGACTACATATTATGTATAGGAGTAGGTAGCTATAAGAAAAAGTTGTGTACTTCATTTTCCAGGCAACAAGTTTTAACAGTAAGACAATCAATTTTAGGGGACCAAATCGTGTTAAAAACATTATTCATATTGTCATGGTATGAAAGTAAAACTCTTTACTTTTGTGAAGAATTAACATTGAGATTCAAGTGCTGAGCTATCTGCAGGTATTCCTTTATTGTGCAAATTCCAGAAAATTAGTTATGAAGGATAGGATCAGGATACAAGACTGTAACTGTGCATGCTCATCAACTGAAATGGCATGTTAGGCCAAATAACTAATAGTAGTAATATACTTTACACTTCATGTTCGTTTTCGCTTCAAAGCGAAATAGAATGTACATCAACTGGTATTTTGTAGGAGACCAGTCGATGCAGAATCTTAAGCCAGAAATTTTATGTGATGGCTTTATCCTTTGATGTCTTCATCAATAATGTCTCATAATTTTGAAAGATAAACTAAATCTGAAGCTAGAACGAATTTCTGTCATACTATCTCTGTCTAGACATTATGGACTTGACTAAGTCCAGTATCCGAACATAGTCATAAAATAGAGACGATTCTTTGCCTTCAAGACCGTCCCTGCTCACCCTGTTACTGCCTGCAAGATTGTTGCACGGGCTTCCACCAATCAGTAAATCAAATCCGCCAAATGAATCTATCAGTTGCTCCAAGCGGTCTCCATTCAACTGCTGCACATCATCAAAATCAATAAGATTGCCTCTCTGATTAGTTTGCTCCCACCAACTTCTCACAATGTTTCTGTTCACTTCAGATTTTTCCACAGAGACCACATTGTTTAGTTGAATCCCAAGACGGTAAAGAGCAACTTCAGCACCGCCAATCCCAGAGAAGAGTGATAAGACGTTCATCCCATTTGGAAACATGTCTTTCAACACTGATAAATGGTATGCCACTGTGTCAACCTATAATAATATCAATCCAAGTATCATGTTAAAAATTATTCTAAGGAAAAGAAATTGTATAAGTCAAGGTAGGAGTTACTTAATTACATCTTGTAACCTCAAGTTAAAGGGGAGAAAAGGAAAGGAAGGGGGATGTGTGTGTGTGTGGGGGGGGGGGGGGGGGTTAAATAGGTGTTGAGCATTAAATCCCCACTCTTCTTGAAAACTTAAGAGCCAATGCATGCATTGGACTCTTTGTTTTTCCAAGGTGCCACCCAAGATGACCAATGATTTTTTTTTCTTTTTCCAAGAATTAATTAAAAGATTACATTGCCCTTTTAGATGACCCATTTCTTTTATTCATTAATTGAACAATAGTTAAATGGGTCATCTGAAAATTTAGAATAGGCCCAAAATGTCATTTTAGATGACCCATTTCTTTTAGGGCAAACTACATAAATCCCTTTAGTTTAGATCCTAATTACTACGATTCCCAATAGTTTCAAATATTACTTCATCTACCATATTTGGTGCTTCGGATACATGAATCTGAATTCGCGAGATACATGTATCTGTCGAATTTTAAAACCGAGATACATATTTTATTTGTTTAAATTAATTAGTTGTAACTTATTTCCTTAATTAGAGGAGTAATTGAGATACAAGTATCTACCATATTTTGTGCTTAGGATACATGAGTCTGAATC